TAATAAAATTTAAACCTAAGAATTAGAAAAAAATTAGAACCTCACACCCGGGGCAACGCCCGGGCCTAAGAGCTAGTTATAAATAATTGGCAAACAGGTATAAGCTATTATGCCTACTTTTTGATCTAGTTTATAGAATTAGGCAAGGGTTAGTATAGTGAGCTTTTGAAGTGTTGTTTCTTTTTGTTGTATTTGAAGTTGGTTGTAGTGTTGTTAAGAGTAAGTTTTCAAAAACAGGAATTATATTTGTTTGGGTAGTGCCAAAAAGTGATTCTGTAGCTAATTGAAGAATTAATTTTCTCTATAATATTGTAATAAATAACTCCATGAAGAATGAAGAAAGTATATTATAGATCTTATTGGTTTTCTCTATTTTGTCTACTGGGTTGTCTCTGGTGTTGGTAGCTTGGTTTCTAGATAGTAATTGTTGTTTGTAATACTTAGGTTTTCTATATTTTCTTTGTTTGTTTTGTATACTTTTCTTATTTTACTAATAATTTGCAGATTTACAGGAAAGAGTTTTTATAAGCATCAACTTTTTAATTATAAAAATTTAATTTTTACTTAGATGAAATCCTTTGTACAAAATGATGAAAGACAAAACCTTGGCATAAAAATCAAATGAAAAAACTTAAATCCAATTGACTAAAGACAAAACCCTTGTGCTCTTATTAAAAAAAAATGAATATGCATACACTGCCAAATGGCAATGTTTTGACAAAGAAATAAACAAAGCTAAGCGATTAATAAATAAAATTACCATATTTTCGCGAAATAACGCACAGGGGCGTAATTTCAAAATTTGAGCACACATTATGCTTAATTCTGGCCATGGTTCTATATAAAGCTCGTGAACGTTATTACGCGAAAATACGATATGACTTAGCAGTTATTCATTCCGATTTAATCGAGAACAGCTGTGCTTTTTTTGATGATTTTGGATTTAAATTATTATTTCGAACCTTAGCATTCATTTAAGCCAAAATCATCGAAAACAGTATAGCTACCCTTGAATTACTTTACATGAAGATGGATGATCATTTTCTTTTTGTAAATTCGATTTTCATTAGTCTCGTCACCTTTTTCAGTTTCGTCATCTTTCGTAATTTCGTCATTTAAGATTTTAATTGACGAAAGACGAAACTAGGTTTCACGTTTCGTCAGCTCGAAACCTCCAAATTTCGTCTAACAACTATATATACTTCAGTCCCTAACAAATATTTTCGAAGGCACGTAACACCCATTTGAGTGAAGTATACGCCTTTCTGAAAAAGCGTACTCCTTATGCATACTGACTGGTTCATGGTCGAAAACATGGTATTAAATTTCAAAAATTAAAGACTAGGTTTATTCGACATAATTTTTTTTTTTTAAACTTATTTTATTTTCTTTTAAATAATTTTTAACCCCTTTTTTTTTTCTAAGCAAAATATTTGCAAGTACATATTTTATATCAAATTATATATTTCAATAAAAAATTTTTCTAACATAAAATTATGTAACAGCAGCTTAGTTCGACTTTCGATCGGCTAGCGAGCCGTTAGTCGAATTTAGCCAGCGATTTTACATTTATAATACTAACCCGGAACCAATTAATAACCATTCTACGACCAATATTTCATCCATATCATCTTTAGTTAATTCAGTAAATCCAGGGATTAATTTTTGTTCTGATTCATCGTTGGATTCTTCAAACACAGACTCCATGAAAATTATATCTTGCAAGAAATTATCAGCAATATGATTAATTGTTTGTTGTTTAGACTGTTCAGATTCTTTCGTATCGTCATCATTATTATTATTCTTGCTATCCATATCTTTATCATCTTTATCATCAACGATAATGGCTTTATCATTAAAAGCATCACTGTTATTAATATTACTAACAATATGATTAATTGTTTGTTGCTTGGATTGTTCAGATTCTTTCTCATAGTCATCATTATTGTTATTCTTGCTGTCCACATCTCTATCATCTTTATCATCAACGATAATAACTTTATCATTAATAACATCAATGTTATTAATATTACTATCAGTATGATTAATTGTTTGTTGTTTAGGTTGTTCGAATTCTTTCACATTGTCATCATTATTGTTATTCTTGCTATCCATATCTCTATCATCTTTATCGTCAACGATAATAACTTTATCTTTAACAACATCAACATCTCTGTTTTTAATATTACTAATATCATTTCTTGCTTTCAACGATGATGACCTAATCGGTAATCGATTCGATTTAACATTCGATTTAATAACTTGATTTTCTTGAATATGTTTACTATCACTTTGTTCTTGAGTTCCTTCTTTGGGTAATGTCTTAGGAATTTGAATATGAATATATTTAGGTCTATAAATCAACGTGCTATTACTACTAGATTGTTGTAAACCAATATTATATTTTCCTTTGGTCGGTATTTTTAATTTAGATAATAGTTTTGTAAATATCTTTTCTTTCTTTCCTGAAAATGTATCATTTGGCGGTGATGATGTGTTTAAGAAATCAATCAAATCTTGAGTATCAAATCGTTTAGATGGTTTTTCATAATTTATAATATCATAATCATCTTCGTTGAAATCTAATGAATCAGAGTCAGATCTCTGCTTTTGCCTATTATAAAGGTTATCAGTATTATTATTTGCTATTGATCCGCTTTTATAAAGAGCACTTAATTGATCCAAAGATTTGCTGTGATAAAGAGTACTAGTATTATATGATGATGATAACCTGATATCCGATGTTGACAATCTTCCGGAAGGGATAAGAGGAATATGACGAGGCCTGCCATGATGATAAGACGGACCAGTCGTAGAACGCCCGAGAGATGAACCAGATTTATTGGAAAATAATCGTTTTTGAAGAAGTTCAATTTTTGAATCCTTCCTCTTAAGTTTTCCCGTTGGTTGATTTAAAACACTGTCAGGATCTGTATTTTGCAAAAACTCAAACAAACTTTCTTTAGGCTTCTTCTTTATGCCTATAAACTCGTCAATATCATCGTCCTCTTCGTTATCTTGTGATTTAGAGTTAGTTGGTGGAATTAATCGCTCGCGGGTTACTGGTTCACGAGGTTCGAATTTCCGTGGCTCCTGTTTTTGAGTCTATTCAAAAATATTTTAAGTGTATAAGGTATATAAATTGTATAAGGTATATAAATTATATAAGGTATATAAAATATATAAGGCATATAAGGATGAAGGCATATAATATTATAAGAGATCTAGATATTTCACCGACTCACATTTCGTCTTATCGACTATAAATAGGTAATTTTAAGTTGTTTTATAGTTAAAATCACCTATTTTGTAGAAGTTAAGACGTCATGGAAACATTCTTGTCGATGAAAATGATTGACATTGGATTGGATTTCAGGGAATTGAATGTATATACAGTCAAACCTCCCTAAATGCAATCTAAATGCAACTTCAGTCTTTGGCCAAAATATAGTTCTAACCTCCATAAATGCAATTTTCTTATTATTCTTTAAATGCATGTTATCAAAAGTTCGGTCCTCATGAGTTGCATTTATAGAGGTCTGACTGTGTTAAAATTTTTTAATAATAACTACCTCAATTGTTTTCATCCTATTTGAAGTCAAAGAGACTTTCAATGTTAAATTTTGGTTGTTGGAAATTAGGTGTTCGAAGCTTATTGCTTTGTCTATGTCATCCTATAATCAATAATTTTTGTATATACAATAAATGATACCGTATTATTATGAAAAAAAAAAAACGATACCTTAACTGTTAACGTTAACTATTAACGAACGCTTACCAAACTAGATATACTTCTAATATCACGTTCCCTAAATTTATTTTTCGGGGAGCGAACTCCTACATTCTTAGATTCTAAACTTGTCCTTCCAAATGATCTTTTTGTAGGACTATTATTCCACAAAGCGCTATCAACAGAAAATTTTCGTAGTCCTCCACCCACTCCATTATGAAAACTTTGTTTATTTGGACTACTAGATGAGACAGCCTCTGGTGACCGAGATATAATATTACCACTTTTAGTTGGAGTAATAGGAGTAGTAGGTGTAGTAGGTGTAGTAGGTGAGATAGTTTCCGGTGATTGAGGTATAATATCACCGTCTTTAGTTGGACTACTAGGTGAAATAGCTTCCGGTGATCGAAACGTAGTATTACCAACTTTAGTCGGACTACTAGGTGAGTTAGTTTCCGCGAATCGAGATATAATATCACCATCCTTAATCGGACCACTAGGTGAAATCACTTCTAGTGACCGAAACGTAATATTACCATCTTAATTATTATGAAATTAGTTAACGTTAATAGTATTCTCAATACTTTAAATAAAAAAAAATAGATAAATGAATGAATGAATGAATTTACGTATTACCTGTAACATTTGCTGATAAAGGAGTCTGAGGTGATATTGGTGATAATGTAATATTCGAATCCGGAGATTTTGGTAGTGTAGGCAATGCCTCCTATGTAAGTAAATATATATACATAATACAGTAATACGATTAAATTATCGTTAAAATATAGCCTAAAAAAGATATATTTATATTTATCTATTTTAAAACATACCTCCACCTTTTCTTTTAGACTAGTACGTTGAAATACAGGTAAAACTTGACTATCAGTCAATGCCAAATAAACTTCATTGGCTTTCGCTACAGTTACATCACCTTGTTGTTTTAAAGCTTTAGCTACTAATACTAAGATATGTTCACCAACATATTCTAATACAGCAGTCATATAAATAGCCAAACTTGGAGAAATATAGATCCCATCACTATTATGCAAACCAGGCATTGTGCTAGGATCACGATCATTAATAGAAAAATTTTGTTCACTTAAAGTGCTATAATATTTACATTTTATACGAAATTGTTCAAAAACTCTTTGTACTGGATATGGATCAGATAATTCAACAGCTTTTTCTAAAGTTTTATCAAAATTTCCACTTTCTAAAAATGTTTTTAATTCAAAATCGGCTTCTTTAATTGAATTTTTACCCAAATGAGTAGGTAATACATTAAATATGGCTAATTTTATATTTTCCAAGTAAAGAGAACAAGAAGAATCCACAAGTAAGTATAAGAATTCATCAAGAAAATGGTTTATAATAGCTAATGCTTCGGGAGAAATTCGGTAAGGAGTAATATCCGCTATAATAGTGTTGGCAGCTCGTTGGGAAATATAAAAAGTATCTTTTATAAAATGAAGAAATGGATAAATCAATTAGTATGAAAAACTTTGAAAAAAAATAACGGTAGGAATAGATAATTTATATATTCTCGGTTGACAAAAGTACACTCCTTATTTATTCTTGAAAATAAATTAATATCGAACAAAGATATTTTGGTTTAAAAATTGTTTTACGCATACTTTGTCAACCGATCGATCGTAAACGAAGATACAAAGATTCTTATTGTATTGGTTACAGAAATGTCTTTTGAACAAACAAATCAATGCGGTATACAAACAACACAAATCAACAATGTACATGTTACATAATATATTAAATGTTTACACACTTATCGTTAAGTCTTCAACCATTATTGAAATTTTCTTCGATTTTGATTTTTATTTAGAATTAGAAAGAATTTAAAAAAGGAATTAAGTGCAAATTTTGAAATTAAAAAAAAAGAGGTACGAACATAACGTATAATATATATATATACGCTTATACGTGTAAGAAAAAAAAATAATCTTTTTGAAGGATTCAAAAAGAACACAAATTATATATAATAGTATGCATTACATTAATTTATAAACAATTATACGTCCGTTATGCATGCAAATTATGTAAATTACAACCTTTTTTGGTGAAACAAGAGTTTTCCTTGGTCGATCAGACAATAAATAAACATCCCCATTTTTGGAGAAGTTCAAACATCATGTGAAGAGTTATTCTAAATATACAAATATATTCGGCTATTACAACATTTGTTTAAAACTAGAATGCGTAGGAGATTCTTCTATAACATTACAGACGCGGTATACAATCATCAGGCCGTTCCCACCCTATGCATCCGGCTTATTCCTGAAATAGCTACGGTAATCGACTACTGTTTTTAGTCCTACTCTCTCTTGTCTAGATCGTCCGAATCGTTATAAACGTTCACCATTATTAGAATTAATATAAAGGAAACAGTCGGCAAATATTTACAGGATGCATTTATTCTCTGATTCCGAGGAGGTTAAAATAAATTCCAATCTAAACTTTTTATAGAAACTTATCAAACGTAATAGTTCATCCATTTACTTTAATATCTTGAACATATTTGGTACTCATCTACAAGTTGAACCCTCCGCCTTAATCCTGTAATCTTTGTCAATTCCTGGTACAAGCCTTTAACAGGTTCAGGTGCAGATCCTCGAGAAACTTTCTAATACGCTACTATTGAATTTAATTGATAATTATATTTTATATGAAATTAATTAATATGATTTCTAATGTTTATTAAGTTATATTAAATATATAAAATTGCATCAAACAATTTTACGTGATACATCAAAACTATACCATTATAATTTTATCCGTCTGTCACTTTTAACCACATTTATTTAATTAGAGGTCTCTCTGTTCAACCGTTGATCAGTGTTCGAGAGTTCTGTTTTTATTATACAATAAAATAATAAATAATTTTAGAACACTTTGATATAATAGATTGTTCTCATGAGAACAGCTGAAATTTTGAAAACCGCTGTTGACTTATCGATCGATCACTTATTTCTTATTTTCGCGGATAATCAAACTCCTAAAAAAGAAGCAATCGAATTTTGAATATCCCAACAGAGAAAAAACAATTGACACTATATATTTATGACCTTCAAATTTTGGCTGTGCCAATTTTGTATTTTAACAAAAAAAAGAAAAGATTCTCGCAAGAATTAATTTAAAACGCATTACCGAATTTGCTTGTCTGTTTATTTAAATGATACTTTAAAAGACGGTAACAAAACTTTAATTTTTTAGGTACAAAATTTGTAAATGCCCTCTTTGTATCACAAATATGCTTTACATGTATACTTGCAGTAAGATAATGCAATTTGCGTTTCAAAAAAGTTTTCTAAATTTACGCATTAGTCTTGTTCCTAATTGATTAACTATCATAAATGATTTCTATACATTTCAGGTTCATAAGTTATGTTTAGCTTTATTATTTCAATCTTTTTTATCTTAGTAAGTGTGTTAATTTCACTTCCAATTAAATATCTATATTATCTCACACTACGATCATTACACATTATATCATTTTCTTGATGAATTCTTATACTTACTTGTGGATTCTTCTTGTTCTCTTTACTTGGAAAATATAA